CCCCCCCCCCCCCCCCTTTTTCTCCCAAAAAAAAAAAACATATTAGTATTGCAAACCACACCACATTTCCCAATCAATAGATAGCATAGAATTGTACTCAAGGCTCCTTAGAATTGATCCATTACGGGATTTATATTAGCCGCATCAGTTACACTTGAAATATTAAATAAAATAGGTATTAATTTGGTAATGATTACAGTAGCAAATTGGAATTCGGCAAGAATTAATCTCATTTTGGCTTTCCAATGAGATGTCCTAAACTCCTAATATATGTTATACAATTTTTTTTTCTCTTTTTTTTGTGTTAAAAAATAAATATACAGACAAGTCATTTCATATATCTCTCGAGAAATATTATTCTTCAATATTATACAATTATTTATAAAAAATTTTATCGCACCTACGTTGAGGCCAAAACTAAAATCTCACCGTATCTTCTAGATGCTGAAAATTTAATTTCGTTCCAATAAATTGTTGTAATTATGATTACACAATTTCGTTTGGTGTTATTAATCCTAATTAACAGACTAGCACGTGCATGCCACACTAATCATTGCGCGTACAGAGACAACAAAACACACCATCTCCCACAGGTTTATAGCTCTATGATCTCATCCACTTTCTTCAACTCCATAATCTCTTCCCTATAAAGTGTATATACCACCATCTTCCACCTCACCTCTCCCTCTCTCTCTCTCTCTCTCTCTCTCTCTCTCTTTCACTCAGCTTCTGACTTTTGGAGCACCCACAGATCACTCTTCTTTCTCACAAAAAAGATACTTACCCAAAAAAAGGAGATCAAGACTTAAAAGACACCAATGGCGTAGACGATGGATGGCAATTTGGAGTCCTCACTGCTTGAAGCAGAGATGGTTATGGTTAGGAGATGAAGGAGCGTCAGAGGTGGCAGCCTGAAGAAGACACACTCCTACGCGCTTACGTGAAGCAATATGGAGCCAGAGAATGGAACCTCATTTCACAGCGCATGGGCAAAACCCTTGACAGAGACCCCAAATCATGCCTCGAGCGCTGGAAAAACTACCTCAAACCCGGCATCAAGAAAGGGTCTCTGACGCCGGAAGAGCAAACTCTAGTCATCTCTCTCCAAGCAAAGTACGGCAACAAGTGGAAGAAGATCGCCGCCGAAGTCCCCGGCAGAACAGCCAAGAGACTCGGCAAGTGGTGGGAAGTTTTCAAAGAGAAACAACTCAAGCAGATACAGAAGAGTCAGCACCGCCAGGATTATACTGATCCACCGGCTGTTTCTGCCGTCTCTGCTGGTGGGTCGCCGGAAAAAGCTCTACAGGGAAAGTACGACCACATTTTGGAGACATTTGCGGAGAAGTACGTTCAGCCGAAGCTTTTTGCTTTCCAGTCCTTTCCTTTGCCTGCTATGATGCCTAACCTTTCAGTCCCTGAACCGGTTCCCGTTCTTTCTCTCGGTTCGGTGGCTGTCACTGAACCGGTCAACATTTGCTCTACGACGTCGTCTTCTGTTCTTCTACCATGGATGATGACAACGGCCAATTTGGGTTCTACGACGTCGTCGTCTCTGTCATCATCATCTTCTTCCACTCCATCTCCTTCTGTTAGTCTCACGCTCTCCCCATCTGAACCGGCGGTTCTTGATCCTGTTCAGCCGGAAATGGGCTTACCTGTCCGTTTCTTTCCGGTTCAGCAAATGGGTACCCTTGTTCAGTACTGTAAAGAGCTTGAAGAAGGCAGACAAAACTGGTTACAGCACAAGAAGGAAGCTACGTGGAGGCTGAAGCGGTTGGAGCAACAGCTAGAGTCTGAGAAAGCAAGGAAGAGGAGAGAGAAAATGGAGGAAATTGAAGCAAGGATAAGGTGTTTAAGAGAGGAAGAGATGGGTTTTCTGGGTAGGATTGAGAGTGAGTACAGAGAACAACTGGTTGCATTACAGAGAGATGCTGAGGCCAAAGAGGCTAAGTTAATGGAAGCTTGGAGTAGCAAGCATGTCAAGTTGACTAAGCTTGTTGAGCAGCAGATTGGGGTTGTTCACAGTCATGGATTCACAACGGTGTCCAAGGATTTTCACCGAGTCTAGTCTTAGGTGTGCCCAAACAATGCAATGCAATGCAAACCCATGTTAATTTTTTTCTTTTTTGTTGTAGTTTATGCATTTAATTTGTACTCCTTTGATATAAATATATATGTGGTTCAAGAGATTATATTAATGATGTTTTTTGAGTTTTCTTTTGCTTTCTGGGCCTGACTATATCATGAGATTAGGAATCGGACAGATGCATCTCACCATCATTCTACTACAGATAGCCAAAATGGTGGCAAGAAAAGAAAAAGAGTTATACAAAACAGTTACGTAAAACATGATGGGAGAAAAACATAAAACAAAAAGTAGTTACACTCATTAAAAATTAAAACAGGTTTTTTTTTTCCATTCATCTCAATAACAAGCAAAATAAAACAATATTTGCTTCATAAACTAAGGGTAAAATAAATTAATTAAAAAAAAGTGACTAGTAATTTTTTTTGAAAAACGTACGTTAATGTTTATACAAAAAATATTTACACCCATGAAAAAACAGTAACATCCATGAAAACCAAATCATTTTTTTTCCCTTCATTCCAACAACAAACAATCATAAAATAAAATCGAATATAGGAATTTCTCAAAAAAAAAAAAAAGACCAAATAAAAGAAGAAATATAATTATTAATGTCTATATGAAAAAATAGTTACACCTATTAAAACCAAATCAATTTTTTTCTTCCCTTCATTCCAACAATAAATAAACATAAAACAAAATCAAACATAAAAATTTTCCAAAAAAAATGACCGAATAAAATAAGAAATATAATTATTATGTCTATAAGAAAAAATAATTACACTCGTTAAAACAAAGCAATTTTTTTTTCTCTTTCATTCCAACAACAAACAAACATAAAACAAAATATAACATATGAATTTCTCAAAAAAAAAAATGATCGAATAAAAGAAGAAATATAATTATTAACAATTTACTTTCAAGTCGATGACCGTGATTGATATTTGCATTTCCTTTTTTTGAAAAATTCTATCACTGGAGAAATACATCACCCGTTGAAGAATACTTTTACTGCCAAGATCAATTGAAAACAGACCATATGAAGACTCTTATTGCACAGATCAGTTGAATACAAATGTTTGAAGACTCTTACCGGAAAAATCAAGTCAACACAGACGTTTACTATGTATATCAAAAAATTACTGATTCAAAATTCAAAAATTAAAAATAACAAATATGTAATCTTTACATAATTGTTTCCTCAAATAACTGTCAATAATAACTGTATAATTTAAGGAATAGTGTTTAGGTAAACAAAATTTTAATTCATTTGAATTTTGTACCTAAACACAAATTTTTTTATAAAAATTGTACTTAATAGAATAAAATATTTATTCATAAACTTTTACTCAAATAAGTCTAAAAAATTAGAAAAATTCGTAAAAAAAGTATACCATGTAATACTTATTTGTGAAAAAGTACTTAATTATAAAATATATGTGCACAAGTACCTTTGGGTGTAAATATTTGGTGAAGATGTACACTTTTGTTGAATTGTAATTTTTTCTCTTACTAAATTGTCATTTTTCTTTATTAATTGGAGACAAATATAGTAGTTATATTAGAGATTCAATTTCCTAATTTTATGCTATATCTTTTTTGAATTTTAAATTACCTATTCATGTGTGATTGACCAACTATTTATTTAAACATTCCATATCTATTCTTCTATCATTTAAACATCTTCCTCTGTCATTTACTTCATTCCGTAATCGAATTTTCAAAGATATTCTAATTAGTTGCAATGGAAGAAGTGCATCAGATATGTCATCCATATATTTTTTTTAAAAAAAAAATTGTTACGGCTATTAACGTTAATAATGTTCATGTGAGGATAAATGTCAATGATGATGACTCAAATGGGGATGATTGTAATAATCAAGATGATGACTCTAATTCGCATGATGATTTGCTGTCTCGCACGATAATATCACAGTGCTAAAAGACAATGTCACTCTAACAGTAAAAAATATCATACTGCTAGAAACCAATGTCACACTACTGCAAGTCAATGTTACACTGCATACATTGACATGACGCATGACACAATATAATAATCAAGATAATGTTTTTACTTCGAAAGGTGATTTGCTAACTCGTATGATAATGTCATAGTAGTACTAAAAAATATCATACTTCTATAAATCAATGTCACACTATTGCAAGTCAATGTCACACTTGACATCTATATTTGAGGTGGAGTTCTGCCTCCTGATCTCACGAAGGAAATGGTTGCAAAGTCTGGTCGAGATCTTCCCGGGCTTAAAGAGAGGCATCCTGAGGCAGAACTCACTCTAAATACCCGGCGACATATCATCTCTGTTCATGGTAGCAAAGAGTTGAAACAAAAAGTGGAAGCTATAATGTACGAGGTGGCACAGACATGTGGCTCAGTGGTTCAGAGTGTCGATGTTGAAACTGCCTGTCCTATTTGTTTGTGTGAACTAGAGGATGGTTACCGACTTGAAGACTGTGGACATGAGTTCTGTCGGTTATGCTTAGTGGAGCAATGCGAGTCTGCAATCAAAAGCCAGGGAGGTTTTCCTATGCGAGCCTACTACAATCAATGATAGATTCCAAGTTGTTTATTTTTGAAGGGATTTATGTGTAACAGTTGAGATCTTTTAAGTTTTGGTTGTGGAGGCAAAAATATGAGAATCAATTCAAATTTATTGAAAGGGGTATTTTAAAATTTTGATAGAGATTATATATTTTTTGACCTATATTTTTAAAAATGGTACTTTATCCTCTATAATTTTTAAAAAAAGTACCGACCCATTAAAACTCAAAAAATTATACCCACTATTAAATGGACAACCGTCTAAGATTTAACAAGTCCATTGGGCCGCCCTGCCCTGTTAATAGGAAATCACGAAATTACCCCTTGTGTCTATTTGAGTGTGCGACATTTTGCTGGTTGGGTGGAAATCTAATGTCTATGTCCAAACAGTCCTTTACTTTGGTGGCTCCTCTCCCGTCCGTCTTCTTGTTTTTGAGGCCTGCCGCCTGAGATGCTACGGATTCAAATCTCATCCATTACTTTTTATCTTCGATTCTTTTTAATATAGTGATTGATGAGACTTTTCTGAAAATACTCCAAGATGAAGATACGTGTCCTCGGCGTCACTGAAAAACCTGTTAACAGAGATCACGTACCATCGGCTTTACAACTCCCTCGCCCGAGGTACTTGACACGTGTCGAGTACGTTTTACGTATCGACACGTATCCCTCGGTCTGGTATGGTACCTCGGTCATCATGTACGACTTCCCTCGTCTCGAGATGTACCTTTCCTCGGCACCGAGATGTGCATGTCCTCGGTACCGAGATGTACCCCCGTCCAAGATGCCTTTTTCTCTGCTCCAGTATAAGCTATTGATGTACAGGTCATTAGCCTAGGCTAGTCTAGGTTAGCTATCATGGTCTCGTCTTATGCAAATGGTGTCAGAAGGAACAGGAATGCAGGGTCCACAGCCAATAAGGGATGGACGCGTGGCAAATTGTGTCACATCAGAGACAGAAAGACTGCATGCCTTTACTGACACGCGACTTGGGAAAACAAACATTTAATTACACCATTCCCTTGATCAGACCGCATTCAATGCGGTAAGGCTCGGAATTAAAAGGCAATAAATGTCTCTAAGGCTGGGCATTTATTGCATCCTCCCCGAGCGGAGATCATTAGACAGTCGACAGCCCGATGACACAGCATTGATTGCTCANAAAAGGCAATAAATGTCTCTAAGGCTGGGCATTTATTGCATCCTCCCCGAGCGGAGATCATTAGACAGTCGGCAGCCCGATGACACAACATTTATTGCTCGGTGCCCCGAGCAGTTAAAGAAAGGAAGACATTCCTCATCAAAATCAGTGCGCACACTGCCAGTACCTAATGATCATCTACTGACAACACTGACAGCAATCATGAGCTTTTGAGGTATAAATACTCCTCATAAAAGGCAAAACGGTATGCAACAAGAGACTCTTTACTACGAAATATACTCAGTGTTTTCTTCTTCCCCTCCCTTTCAAAAACTGACTTGATCATCGGAGGGAATAAGCCGGAAAACACTCCGGCGCCCTTCTAACTTGTCCTCCTTTGTTCCAGGGACCTTTTCCCAGCCTTACTGGATCATTCCTTCAGTTCACGAGAGTCTCCCATTACCGTTCCAGGTTACCACCGGACCTCACAGGCTGTCCCAAGCAGCGTGGTTGATCACTCAACTGACTCACTCGAGTTCACCAAGGGAGAGATCTGTTCTCGTTTTTTATATTGTGCAAGATCCTGCACACACATTCTGGCGCCGTCCGTGGGAAACGACTAGTTTTCCTAGTTTTTTCTCTATAAAGAACAGTGACCATGGTGAACACGCGTCAAAAAAGGAAAGGTCCCCACCAAAGAAGTCTCGAACTACAAGCTCCCTGTCACCACGGAGGAAGGGATCACACTGACGGGAATAAAAATGCCTCCACTCAGTCCAGAGGGGTTACCCCTCAAACCAGTATGGGAATCAGGTCAGGAGGGTCAGCCCCCCTGGCTCGTTAGCTGGCGGAGGTGATCGAAGAAAAGTTTGGCGATAGATTACGACAGCTGGAAAAGGACAATGTAAACGTCCTAAGCCGGCTCAACGAATTCGCCGCCTCCGACGAAGGATCGAGGGACTCATTCCTCTCTCGTGGGCTCCCCGCCCGGGAGGCAAAAACAAAGGATCTAAGGAATCATCTGAACAACAAGGCGGAGAGCTCTCGAGCTCCAAAACGACCGAGAGCCAACGTGCACCTTCCTAACGACTATTCAAGGAAGGCAAGACCATTAGCCCTGGACGACCTCCGGCGAGGATTGTCTAGACGAAGGGAGGGGGATGAGTCCGAGGAGGATTCTTCCCTATCCGCACGGCGCCCAGGAAATGAGGGGCCCATTGATGAACTCAAGGACTTCAGAAGACATCTCATCACGGAGGAAATTGATCTCAGAGCCCCGCTAGAATCCAAGAGAAATAATAAGGCTATCCAGGATGAGGTCGAAGACGAGGTCATACAAACACCCTTCACCAGGGAGATCGGAGAGATGGAAGTTTCAAGAAAGTTCATGGTGCCGAGGTTCAAAACTTATGACGGGCGGTCCGATCCCGAAGCCCATCTCAGGCAATACAAGCAGATGATGTCCCTCTATCATTCGGATCAACGGTTTCTCTGCCGAGTGTTTCCAATGAGCTTGGGGGACTCTGCGATGAAGTGGTTCTAGGCGCTTCCCCCAAACAGTATTGGGTCGTGAAAAGAATTGACGAGGCAGTTCCTGACACGATTCATTACGGGGAGTAAGCGCCCCAAAGACGTTGGATCATTGCTGACCCTCCGACGTAGGGAATCTGAGTTCACCAAGGGAGAGATCTGAGTTCACCAAGGGAATATGAGTTCACAAAGCGTGGTTGATCACTCAACTGACTCACTCGAGTTCACCAAGGGAGAGATCTGTTCTCGTTTTTTATATTGTGCAAGATCTTGCACGCACAATCTGGCGCCGTCTGTGGAAAACGACTAATTTTCACAGTTTTTTCTCTATAAAGAACAGTGACCATGGTGAACACGTGCCAAAAAGGGAAAGGTCCCCACCAAAGAAGTCTCGAACTACAAGCTCCCTGTCACCACGGAGGAAGGGATCACACTGACGGGAATAAAAATGTCTCCACTCAGTCCAGAGGGATTACCCCTCAAACCAGTATGGGAATCAGGTCAGGAGGGTCAGCCCCCTGGCTCGTCAGCTGGCGGAGGTGATCGAAGAAAAGTTTGGCGATAGATTACGACAGCTGGAAAAGGACAATGTAAACGTCCTAAGCCGGCTCAACGAATTCGCCGCCTCCGACGAAGGATCGAGGGACTCATTCCTCTCTCGTGGGCTCCCCGCCCGGGAGGCAAAAACAAAGGATCTAAGGAATCATCTGAACAACAAGGCGGAGAGCTCTCGAGCTCCAAAACGACCGAGAGCCAACGTGCACCTTCCTAACGACTATTCAAGGAAGGCAAGACCATTAGCCCTGGACGACCTCCGGCGAGGATTGTCTAGACGAAGGGAGGGGGATGAGTCCGAGGAGGATTCTTCCCTATCCGCACGGCGCCCAGGAAATGAGGGGCCCATTGATGAACTCAAGGACTTCAGAAGACATCTCATCACGGAGGAAATTGATCTCAGAGCCCCGCTAGAATCCAAGAGAAATAATAAGGCTATCCAGGATGAGGTCGAAGACGAGGTCATACAAACACCCTTCACCAGGGAGATCGGAGAGATGGAAGTTTCAAGAAAGTTCATGGTGCCGAGGTTCAAAACTTATGACGGGCGGTCCGATCCCGAAGCCCATCTCAGGCAATACAAGCAGATGATGTCCCTCTATCATTCGGATCAACGGTTTCTCTGCCGAGTGTTTCCAATGAGCTTGGGGGACTCTGCGATGAAGTGGTTCTAGGCGCTTCCCCCAAACAGTATTGGGTCGTGAAAAGAATTGACGAGGCAGTTCCTGACACGATTCATTACGGGGAGTAAGCGCCCCAAAGACGTTGGATCATTGCTGACCCTCCGACGTAGGGAATCTGAGTTCACCAAGGGAGAGATCTGAGTTCACCAAGGGAATATGAGTTCACAAAGCGTGGTTGATCACTCAACTGACTCACTCGAGTTCACCAAGGGAGAGATCTGTTCTCGTTTTTTATATTGTGCAAGATCTTGCACGCACAATCTGGCGCCGTCTGTGGAAAACGACTAATTTTCACAGTTTTTTCTCTATAAAGAACAGTGACCATGGTGAACACGTGCCAAAAAGGGAAAGGTCCCCACCAAAGAAGTCTCGAACTACAAGCTCCCTGTCACCACGGAGGAAGGGATCACACTGACGGGAATAAAAATGTCTCCACTCAGTCCAGAGGGATTACCCCTCAAACCAGTATGGGAATCAGGTCAGGAGGGTCAGCCCCCTGGCTCGTCAGCTGGCGGAGGTGATCGAAGAAAAGTTTGGCGATAGATTACGACAGCTAAAAAAGGATAATGTAAACGTCCTAAGCCGGCTCAACGAATTCGCCACCTCCGGCGAAGGATGGAGGGACTCATTCCTCTCTCGTGGGCTCCCCGCCCGGGAGGCGGAAACGAAGGATCTAAGGAATCATCTGAACAACAAGGCGGAGAGCTCTCGGGCTCCAAAATGACCGAGAGCCAACGTGTACCTTCCTAACGACTATTCAAGGAAGGCAAGATCATTAGCCCTGGACGACCTCCAGCGAGGGTTGTCTAGACGAAGGGAGGGGGATGAGTCCGAGGAGGATTCTTCCCTATCCGCACGGCGCCTAGGAAATGAGGGGCCCATTGATGAACTCAAGGACTTCAAAAGACATCCCATCAGGGAGGAAATTGATCTCAGAGCCCGGCTGGAATCCAAGAGAAAGAGTAAGGCTATCCAGGATGAGGTCGAAGACGAGGTCATACAAACACCCTTCACCAGGGAGATCGGAGAGATGGACGTTTCAAGAAAGTTCATGGTGCCGAGGTTCAAAACTTATGACGGGCGGTCCGATCCCGAAGCCCA